GACAGAGAAAAGGATCTGGACGTTCTTCACAAAAAACGGTCACTGGAAAATCATGTCCTGAAACTGTGACTCACATACAATACTGACAAACTATAAAACAGCTTTCAAATATATGGATGTTAAACAAATTTTGAAATATTCAGCAGTTGTGTGGTACCCACATTAAAACAATCAGGGATAAGTTAGTCTAAAAATATGACTTCATGAAAGGGACACGGGAGATGGTCACGCTGGCTGGTATGAGGTAAAGAGATGACATGCAAATCCCGAGTAATGTGATAAAAGGATTGGAAGGAATAAATAAAGAAGACTTCTTAGTATCTGCAACAAAAATAACAAGAAGCCACAGTTACAATTTGAGGAAAACAAGTGAAGCTGTATGAAGACAAGAAAAAAATTAAATTAAGAGGAAACAGTAAGTGGTATATACGTAAATATGTGACAACACAATACAAAAAAAAAATGATGGGATACCATGAGCATAGCTGTTCCTACAGTTACGTAGAGGTAATTACAAATAGGTAATTACACGCAGGTAATACACAAAAACCTGGAAAATGGTAAAGGTATGCAACGAAATTAGTCCCTGACTTAATGGGTACGAGCTAAAAGGAAAAAGTAAAGGAGCTAAATCTGACGATATTAAAGGACAGGATAACCAGGGAAGATATGATATCGATGTACAAAGAACTCAAGGAATTAATAGGGTGGACAGGGGCATGCTGTTCGAGAGGCGGGAAACAGGTAAACGAAGGCAGAGCTGGAAGCTAAAAAGAAAGATGAGACACAGGGATATCACGAAGTATTTTTTCAGCCTCAGAGTGATCAGGAGCTGGAACGACCTGGACAACTAAGTGGTAGAGGCAGGGTCAATATAAAGCTTTATGAATAAGTATAATAGGGCTCTCAAAGCCAGGAAAGTGAACCTACACTGTTTCAGTGACAGGAATTAAGACTCGATCTCTTCAACCACAAATAGGTGAGTACATATACGTGCACGCGCGCACACGTACGCACGCAAGCACGCATTGGAAGCTGAAGACTCAGATGAGTCAAAGAGATGTTAGGAAGTATTTCTTTAGTCATAGAGTTGTCAGGAAGTGGAATAGTTTGGCAAGCGATGTAGTGGAGACAGGAACCATACATAGTTTTAAGACGACGTATGATAAAGCTCATGGAGCAGGGAGACAGAAGACCTAGTAGCGATCAGTGAAGAGGCGGGGCCATGAGCTATGTCTCGACCCCTGCAACCACTAATTGGTGAGTACACACACACACACACACACACACACACACACACACACACATGCGCGCGGGGCCAGGAGCTGGGACTCGACCCCTGCAACCACAACTAGGTGCAAGTGCAAAGTCATGAAGATTGGGGAAGGGCAAAGAAGGCCGCAGACGGAGTACAGTCTAGGGGGTCAGAGACTACAAACCTCACTCAAGGAAAATCTTGGGGTGAGTATAACACCAGGCACATCTCCTGAAGCGCACATCAACCAAATAACTGCTGCAGCATATGGGCGCCTAGCAAACCTCAGAACAGCATTCCGACATCTTAATAAGGAATCATTCAGGACCCTGTACACCGTGTACGTTAGGCCCATATTGGAGTATGCGGCACCAGTTTGGAACCCACACCTAGCCAAGCACGTGAAGAAACTAGAGAAAATGCAAAGGTTTGCAACAAGACTAGTCCCAGAGCTAAGAGGTATGTCCTACGAGGACAGGTTAAGGGAAATCAACCTGACGACACTGGAGGACAGGAGAGATAGGGGGACATGATAACGACATACAAAATACTGAGAGGAATTGAGAAGGTGGACAAAGACAGATGTTCCAGAGATTGGACACAGTAACAAGGGACACAGTTGGAAGCTGAAGACACAGATGAATCACAGGGATGTTAGGAAGTATTTCTTCAGCCACAGAGTAGTCAGTAAGTGGAATAGTTTGGGAAGCGATGTAGTGGAGGCAGGATCCATACATAGCTTTAAGCAGAGGTATGATAAAGCTCACGGCTCAGGGAGAGTGACCTAGTAGCGATCAGTGAAGAGGCGGGGCCAGGAGCTCGGACTCGACCCCCGCAACCTCAACTAGGTGAGTACAACTAGGTGAGGTGAGTACAACTAGGCGAGTACACACACACACACACACACCTGAGAATAGCGTTCCGGTACCTCAGTAAGCAATCGTTCAAGACTTTATACACTGTGTACGTAAGGCCGATACTGGAGTATGCAGCACCAGTTTGGAACCCACACCTGGTCAAACACGTCAAGAAATTAGAGAGAGTGCAAAATTTTGCAACAAGGCTGGTTCCAGAGCTAAGGGGAATGTCCTACGAAGAAAGGTTAAGGGAAATAGGCCTGACGACACTGGAGGACAGGAGGGTTAGGGAAGACATGATAACGACATACAAAATATTGCGAGGAATAGATAAGGTGGATAGAGACAGGATGTTCCAGAGATAGGACACAGAAACAAGGGGTCATAATTGGAAATTGAAGAATCAGATGAGTCAAAGGGATGTTAGGAAGTATTTCTTCAGTCACAGAGTTTTCAGGAAGTGCAATAGTATGGAAAGTGAGGCAGTGGAGGCAGGAACCATACATAGCTTTAAGACAAGGTATGATAAAGCTTATGGAGCAGGGCGAGAGAGGACCTAGTAGCGATCAGTGAAGAGGCGGGACCAGGAGTTGAGTCTCGACCCCTGCAACCACAAATAAGTGAGTACACACACACACACACACACACACACACAGTGGAAAGGTTTATTCCCAAGGGCAACAGTAACAACGGGAAGACCAGAACGAGCCCCTGGTTTACCCGACGGTGTAAGGAGGCAAAAACAAAATGCAATAGAGAATGGAAAAAGTACAGAAGGCAGAGAACACACGAAAATAGGGAGATCAGTCGCAGAGCCAGGATTGAGTACGCACAGGTAAGGAGGGAGGCCCAGCGACAGTATGAAAATGACATAGCATCGAGAATCAAGACTGACCCGAAACTGTTGTATAGCCACATCAGGAGGAAGACAACAGTCAAAGACCAGGTGATCAGATTAAGGACAGAAGGTGGAGAACTCACAAGAAATGATCAGGAGGTATGTGAGGAGCTGAACAGGAGATTTAAGGAAGTTTTTACAGTAGAGACAGGAAGGGCTGTGGGAAGACAGCACAGAAGGGAACATCAAGAAAGGAAACAGAAACGAGGCACTAAACTACAGACCTGTGTCTCTGACATGTATTGTGTGCAAAGTCATGGAGAAGATTATCAGGAGGAGAGTGGTCGAACACCTGGAAAGGAACAAGATTATAAATGAAAACCAGCATGGGTTCATGGAAGGCAAATCTTGTATCACAAACCTCCTGGAGTTTTATGACAAGGTAACAGAAGTAAGACACGAGAGAGAGGGGTGGGTAGATTGCATTTTCCTAGACTGCAGGAAGGCCTTTGACACAGGTCCCCACAAGAGATTAGTGCAGAAGCTGGAGGATCAGGCGCATGTAAAAGGGAGGGCACTGCAATGGATAAGGGAATACCTGACAGGGAGGCAGCAACGAGTCATGGTACGTGAAGAGGTATCACAGTGGGCGCCTGTTACGAGCGCGGTCCCACAGGGGTCAGTTCTAGGACCAGTGCTATTTTTGATATATGTGAACGACATGATGGAAGGAATAGACTCTGAAGTGTCCCTGTTCGCAGATGACGTGAAGTTGATGAGAAGAATTAAATCGGACGGGGATGAGGCAGGACTGCAAAGAGCCCTGGAGAGGCTGGACATGTGGCCCAGCAACTGGCTTCTCGAATTCAATCCAGCCAAATGCAAAGTCATGAAGATTGGGAGGGGCAAAGAAGACCGCAGACAGAGTAATAGGCTAGGTGGACAAAGACTACAGACCTCACTCAGGGAGAAAGCCCTTGGGTGGCCCATAACACCGAGCACATCACGGAGGCACACATCAACCAAATAACCGCTGCAGCATACGGGCGCCTGGCAAACCTGAGAATAGCGTTCCGATACCTTAATAAGGAATCGTTCAAGACACTGTACACTGTGTATGTTAGGCCCATACTGGAGTATGCAGCACCAGTCTGGAACCCCACCTGGTCAAGCACGTCAAGAAGTTAGAGAAAGTACAAAGGTTTGCAACAAAGGCTAGTCCCAGAGCTCAAGGGAATGTCGTACGAGGAAAGGTTAAGGGAAATCGGACTGACGACACTGGAGGACAGAAGGGTCAGGGGAGACATGATAAAAGACATACAAGATACTGCGGGGAATAGACAAGGTGGACAGAGATAGGATGTTCCAGAGAGGGGACACAGGGACAAGGGGTCACAACTGGAAGCTGAAGACTCAGACGAGTCACAGGGACGTTAGAAAGTATTTCTTCAGTCATAGAGTTGTCAGCAAGTGGAATAACCTAGCAAGTGAAGTAGTGGAGGCAGGAACCATACATAGTTTTAAGAAGAGGTATGACAAAGCTCAGGAAGCAGAGAGAGAGAGGATCCAGTAGCGATCAGTGAAGAGGCGGGGCCAGGAGCTGAGTCTCGACCCCTGCAACCACAATTAGGTGAGTACAGTTAGGTGAGTACACACACATCACCACCCCTGATGTTTGCCTTTTCTAACCTTTAACCACATTGTTATTTTCCTGTGATTTACATGATTGATTTTAATCCCATAAGACTAGAAGTTAATAAAACTGTTAAATAAAGCAAGCTAATCCCGAGTAATTAATTGATACCAGTATTAAATCCTTATATTTCTTGCATTCGTAGATAATACTCGTTACAAGTCTCGAAAGCCAACAAAAATTCAGAAAAAATTCCAAGAAAATCAATCTAAAGGTGTGTATACTTTATCGGATGGCTTTCCAATGGCGTCTTTATGTGTGTGGGATACTAAAGAAAACGTGTAAAGCAGTGCAGGTTAGTGTGGTGGTAGGGAACGCAACGCGGGCGGCGCTGCATTCCTGCCACCTATTCCAGGAACTTCCAACTGTGGCCAGGTTCGGACGAGTCGAATTCCATGACAGGAGTCACGGGAGAGCCACAAGTTCGGCAGTGTCCAGGAGGGAGGGCCAGGTGAGAGGTGTGTCAGTGCCGCTTACCACCTCGTCCAACAGCGTCCAGTGCCACCTCTTGCCCCCCACCCCTGATCTACCCACTAGTATTACTGTGTTGTTCACCTGTGTTATATTTAAGGACTCGTCTGCGCTTGTGTTGATAGATAAGTATGTTCTTGTTCTTGCAGTCAGTTATATATATATATATATATATATATATATATATATATAAATATATATATATATATATATATATATATATATATATATATATATATATATATATATATATATATAAACTTCATTATGAAACATTAAAGTGTAATGAACACTTGTTAATGAGAGGTCGTAACCTACATGAAGACAGAAACAAGAGTAATACGTTATGTATAATTTAATATCAAACTTTGGGTCCTCCTTAGTAGATCTGCTGAAGACATCAGAGTGTCTAAAAGTACGTAGAACTTAGTACTCTTGTCTCTGTCTCCATGTGGGTTTCTATGTCTCAAGCCTGATTATACTTAAAACAAAATATTCCACGGTAAAATCTGCCATATTTTTTTTTTATAAAATACATAATGATACTCTCATCAGCCCGTGACTGATAATGTTGAGGATTACAAGAGTCACTGCGTGGAGGATTGATATTATTATTACACTCAGGGAGGAGGGCTAAACCCGTAAGGATCATGCGGAGCCCTGGGGCAAATAGGTGGCAGAGTCAGTACAAGCAAGGAAAGGGCAGGACCAATTCCTTGAATCAAAATCCTTCACCGGCATCAAGGCACCTTCCTTGAAGGGTGGATATGGACAAGAATAAGGGTTCCAGAGTAGAGGTACGTGGTGAGTACGATTACGTAGCGTGTCTGTTTTGCCCCTAGCAGACGGAGGATCGAGCTTTCTCTAGTTTTTGCACTGGAAAACCTCGTACTGGTTTGGAGCATCCAGAACCTGGTCAAGGCTCAAACCATGGTGTAGGTAGTGTGCGAGAGTGAATGCTACCAACATCTTCCTCTCTCTGGCGTTCAGCAGTTGACTCTGAAGGAGGGACACTCAAGAAAATAATGAAGACAATAAATGTGTTTGGGAAACTTTCTGTCAACTCATTTCTGTAGAGAAAATTTAACACGTCTTGTTTTAATGCAGATTTTTATACTTTTAAAAAAAGCGGTGTGACTTATACACAAGGAAATATGTCACACACTCACTCTGTATGTATGTATGTATGCAGTGTGGCAAATAATGGTGGTATTTCTGTGTGTGATATACAGAGAAGAAATATGGGTCTAACTCTGTCTCTCTTCGTGTCTCTTTTCTCTTTTTGTAAATATGTAATATGCCTAACACAAAAAAAAACTAATATTTTTAGAGTCCGTGAACGAAAGCTTGTTCCAGCGTAAAGAAATTTTCTATAGTCTCACTTGATATTTTTTCAGTAAACTGTGGATATCTATACAAAAAGCCAAACAGTGATCTTATTTCATGCAGCTGTGTAAATCTTTCTTCAGTCGATTTCATACCTGTGTCAAGGACTCTAAAATAAGTCATTCTGTCTGACTTTTTTGGGTTATCCTAGGTTCTCTACACATATGCTGCTATGTATGATAATTCTATGTAACTGTATTTGTGTATACCTGAATAAATTTACTTACTTACTTACTTACTTGGGATACTTAACATCGGCTTCATAAATGATCTCTCTTCCTTCTCCTGGCTTCAACTCTGCCGGTATCTCCAATTCCATAACAAGTTTAAATACATATTCAGTACTAATATTTTATCAGACCTTTTTGTCACACCTACTGCAATTCTTCAATGACATTTTTTTGTGATAATCCTTTACCTTAAGATTTTTGCTACTCATATTGATGATATGAGAAAGGATAAGCCACACAACAAAAGAAACCACAAACTTGAAAATAGGAATGTATTCTACAAGAGTTTGGGCTACGTGTTGTAATATAAAAGTATCGCCACAGGAGCCTATAAGACAACGTTCTCAGTGATTTTGATAACGAAGAGATTTTTAGATACTGAGTCGATTTTGCAAGTTTGTTTCACTTAATGGTTTGACTGTGAGTTAAGATACATCTCTCTTCAAAACTTTCTAGTGATGCGTTGAAGCTGATTATTATTATAATCAAAAAGAAGCGCTAAGCCCCAAAGGCTATACAACGCTGCAACGCGTTGAAGCTGAGTAATGTACAAAAACCGTGTATTAGACCAAAGAAAATGTACCTCCAAACAGCATTGTTAGCATCATTAATGAAAAAACTAAATGTTTTCACTGCAAGGAATAAACAGATCTTGTGGGTTAACATTGTAAGTTCTTCCTTATACACCATTAACCTTTTCCTTCGGATTTCCATTATCATAATCTTGACAATGTAAGTTTTCAACAGGCAATCATCAATTTTCCAACTGGAGGAAGATATTATCCTTAATGAAAGCACCACTCATATATTTTAAGCTTCTCGGATTGAATAAAAAAAAAGTCCCGTTTGTATATTATCTGATAGAATTCTAAAAGGAAATTGGCATTGTTTTCGTAAATCTTTCAGTGTTGTACATTATTTTTAACCCTGTTATCGACAGATTTCGTTTATTATAACGACGTTCTTTGGAATACCCAATAATAAATGAGGAGATATGAACATTAATTAGATCTTGCTGATGAAACTAAGATTCGCCCTGAGAACTGAGATGGACCAACACGAGATGAACAAGATGACCGAGGAACCATCCATTGGACGAGGAACCATCCTATGGACGAGGAACCATCCTGTGGACGAGGAACCATCCTATGAACGAAGAACCATCCTATGGACGAGGAACCATCCTGTGGACGAGGAACCATCCTGTGGACGAGGAACCATCCTATGGACGAGGAACCATCCTATGGACGAGGAACCATCCTTTGAACAAGGAACCATCCTGTGGACGAGGAACCATCCTATGAACGAGGAACCATCCTGTGGACGAGGAACCATCCTATGAACGAGGAACCATCCTGTGGACGAGGAACCATCCTATGAACGAGGAACCATCCTGTGGACGAGGAACCATCCTATGAACGAGGAACCATCCTGTGGACGAGGAACCATCCTATGGACGAGGAACCATCCTATGGACGAGGAACCATCCTATGAACGAGGAACCATCCTATGAACGAGGAACCATCCTTTGGACGAGGAGCCATCCTATGGACGAGGAACCATCCTGTGGACGAGGAACCATCCTGTGGACGAAGAACCATCCTGTGGACGAGGAACCATCCCATGGACGAGGAACCATCCTATGAACGAGGAACCATCCTGTGGACGAGGAACCATCCTATGAACGAGGAACCATCCTGTGGACGAGGAACCATCCTATGAACGAGGAACCATCCTGTGGACGAGGAACCATCCTATGGACGAGGAACCATCCTATAAACGAGGAACCATCCTATGGACGAGGAACCATCCTATGAACGAGGAACCATCCTATGAACGAGGAACCATCCTATGAACAAGGATCCATCCTATGAAAGAGGACCTATCCTATGAATGATGGGCTCTTGATCTGCTGACTTGGAGATATCCACCGAGTCCTCGGATCAAACCAAATTACCCCCCATGATGATAATTATAATGCTACAGAATTGATCTTTGCGATCACTCGCCTCTGGTGAGTAATCGAGAGTTTTGAACTGACTCATTTCCAGCATTTTCAGTATTAATGAAGACTTTAATTTCAGTGTCAGCGTTCCTCATGTAAACCAGAGAAGTGTGTACTCACCTAGTTGTTGTTGTGTGTGTGTATGTGTGTGTGTGTGTGTGTGTATGTGTGTGTGTGTGTGTGTATGTGTGTGTGTATGTGTGTGTATGTGTGTGTGTATGTGTGTGTATGTGTACTCACCTATTTGTGGTTGCAGGGGTCGAGTCACAGCTCCTGGCCCCGCCTCTTCGCTGATTGCTACTAGGTCCTCTCTCTCCCTGCCCCATGAGCTCTATCATACCTCGCCTTAAAACTATGTATGGTTCCCGCCTCCACTACGTCACTTTCTAGGCTATTCCACGGCCTGACTACTCTATGACTGAAGAAATACTTTCCTAACATCCCTTTGATTCATCTGAGTCTTCAACTTCCAATTGTGCCCTCTTGTGTCTGTGTCCCTTCTCTGGAACATCCCGTCTTTGTCCACCTTGTCTATTCCGTGCAGTATTTTATATGTCGTTATCATGTCTCCCCTGACCCTCCTGTCCTCCAGTGTCGTCAGGCCGATTTCCCTCAACCTTTCTTCGTAGGACAATCCCCGTAGCTCTGGGACTAGTCTTGTTGCAAACCTTTGCACTTTCTCTAATTTCTTGACGTGCTTGACTAGGTGTGGATTCCAAACTGGTGCTGCATACTCCAGTATGGGCCTGACGTAAATGGTATACAGAGTCTTAAACGAATCCTTACTGAGGTATCGGAATGCTATCCGTAGGTTTGCCAGGCGCCCGTATGCTGCAGCAGTTATCTGATTGATGTGCGCCTCAGGAGATATGCTCGGTGTTATGCTCACCCCCAGATCTTTTTCCTTGAGTGAGGTTTGCAGTCTTTGGCCATCTAAACTATATTGTGTCTGCGGTCTTCTTTGCCCTTCCCCAATCTTCATGACTTTGCATTTGGCAGGGTTAAATTCGAAGAGCCAGTTGCTGGACCAGGCTTGTAGCCTGTCCAGGTCTTTTTGTAGTCCTGCCTGATCCTCGTCCGATTTGATTCTTCTCATTAACTTCGCATCATCTACAAACAAGGACACTTCTGAGTCTATCCCTTCCGTTATGTCGTTCACATATACCAAGAATAGCACAGGTCCTAGGACTGACCCCTGTGGAACCCCGCTTGTCACAGGCGCCCACTCTGACACCTCGTCGCGTACCATGACACGTTGTTGCCTCCCTGTCAGGTATTCTCTGATCCATTGCAGTGCCTTTCCTGTTATGTGTGCCTGATCCTCTAGCTTTTGCAGTAACCTCTTGTGAGGAACTGTGTCGAAGGCCTTCTTGCAGTCCAAAAATATGCAGTCGATCCCCCCCTCTCCCCTTTGTCTTATTCTGTCACCTTGTCATAAAACTCAGTGGTTTGTGCACGGGTTTTTTTCCTTCCCTGAAACCGTGTGGTTGTAAATTTCAGTTTCTTTC